GGGGGGGGGAGGAAGTTTAAGGCAGTTGCAGTTCAAGTTGCAATGTGTTTTTAAGCACTTGAAAATAACACATGGTTTAAATATTCTAAATACTGTTTTTGCAGATTTCAGTAGGCCAGATGAGCTTATTTTTCCTTTTTCAAAAGTTTCATAGTATATATTTTCTTTGAATAGTCTGTTTTCTTCCAGGTAATAAAAAAGCACTGAATGCTGAAACATATTCATGTGACCACATTATCTGCACAATAAAAATTTGGCAATTTCTTTTATTGGTAACTTCTGAGAGTAACTTCTACATAATTTATGAAAATGTTTTAATTTGGTTAAAAGTTACTGTTAGAAGTTTGAAGTAACAGACTATTAAGTTGTATGTGAACTCATAACTAAGAAGGGAGTTTGAATGATCATAGTGAATACAGCTTTTAAAAATGCAAAATATAGGTGTTGTGAGCATTTGTTTCAGATGAAACTTGGAAACAGAAAATGTAAGCCATTTTTATTATCTCTGTTAATTTATAGAAGTCGTATGAAGTTATACAGATAGCCTAATAGAAGGGAGCCACGCATCTTTTTCTCTCCACACTACCAATAACCAAGTTACTTGCAAATCTGAAATACTTCCATTGCATAGAAACAGCCCATTCCCAATACAAACATGAAACAAAAAGCTTTTGGTGTGAATATTAATTTCAGATGGTTTCAAGGAACTTGAAGTGAGGCAGTAAGAAGCTGTTAAGTCTGCTTCTAACATTAATATCACCGATGTGCTGCTATGCACCATCTGAAGCTTTGCCACTCTACCGTACAAATGGTGTGATACTGCTGTGTGACATCAAAGCCATATGTTTGAAGCACACCTAGATGCCATGGTCTTCAAGACAGGAAACTAGACTGTTAAAGATGTTACCTGAAGAACGCATGAAACACAAATCCCACCTACTTACAGAAAAAGCTTCCAGTTTATCTTACCTTCACATGCTTGTCATGTGGAGTCATACCCTCACCCCATTTGAAAACAATACAGCAGAAGACATGTCTCTCAACTCCTGTACCTCCCCTGCCACCCCCAATCCCTCTGTTCCCTCTCAGCATGATCACCCTGAAGGTTTGCTTAATTCCCAATGGCAGCTGTTTTGTAAGGATGAAAACAAAAGCAATGTATGTTAGTTTGAGCATGTAGGTTTAGACTGAAAAACTCTTCAAATATTTTCTTTTCTAAAATGGCTTAAAAAGAAAAAAGGAATAAGTCTTACCACAACTTAGTAATTAATTTGAAAAACAATAAAAAAATATCCTTCAGACAAATTACTGCCCTGGAGGATTTCCCATAGAATAAGAGCAACCTGTTTTTAAGATATAACATCATACTGCGTCTGTGTAATAAAAATCAACATTACATTTGGTTTTGTGTTGTTAAAAATAAGCAAATTAATTTCTGTGAAATACATTATCTGGAACAATAAACACTTACTTCAACAGAACCAATCTTCCTGGATCGTGGAAGGGGTGACTTTCTGTGTATGTGAATTGGGTCTGATACCATTGGCTTGAACATCACTACTGCCCGATCTGTTTCATCTCTTTTAGAAGCATGTGCCTCCTCATCACTATCATTTCTGTTAGAGGTTTTCTTCAAGCCTTCATTCTACAAATAACACATAGTTCACTTTTAATTTAGAAGCATGCATTGCAACATGTAGACAGAAGTGGCTGTTAAATAAATCTTCTGGGTAAACATAAAGCAAGCTAATTTTAAAAATATAAGATATAAAAGTTGCTCTAGACTTTCAATAAACTATGTGTATTTGCTCCAAAGCAGCCACTGCATGTGATAATGTGGTCCTAATCAACCACCGTTCAGCCACTGTATCTGACTCCAATTTTCTAATGGCATAGTAATAAAATCCTGGCCCCACAAGTCAATTTAAAAATTTCAGCAAAGCTTTGCTTTCATTAATTTCTCAAAAAGCAGATGGTAACTCCAGAGACCTGCCCATACATCTTTGAAGATTTCAATTCTTCCTCAACAATCTGTATTCATAAACATGCCAAACTACCTTACTTTCTTAAATATTTCTTTCAGTTGCTAGAATATCATTGATACAATACTGATGTAAATATCCATTTTCTAACAATGACTATTTTGTATTTCTAGCAGAAATTCTGGCAAAGCCATAGCAAGTCTAAATTACTTGTGTCCACTACCTCAATTCCAATTAAAAATGGAAGAATACATTAGGACTGCCTATATTTTACTAGATACTTTTCTACCAAAAATAAAAATCACATTTGTATTTTTTATCTAACAGTTTTCAGGTCTTTATTTTAGGTATGTCCACATCCAGAAAAACTAACTTTTGCTTTACAGAATGGCAGAATCATTACCTCTCTGGAGGCAGGTCTGTATCCATATCCAGCTGGTAAGTTTTTATCTTCCTCACAGCCTTTGGCTCCTGGACTGAAGTGCAGCTCTACATGAAAACGTTCTTCTGAAGAAAGTTCCTGAACAAAAATTATTAAATAGGTTCATACTTCAATACATAGCTTAGCACTACTTGTTCCTGAAGCTATTTATCAATTTTAAATACCTTGTTTGGATCCTCATAAAGCATGATAACAATCTGTGTCATGTAATTTAGTTCATTGACAACATTTAAATAATCCATAGCTCGTTTCCACTGTTCATCTTTTGACTCCTTATGAAGGGAGAAAAAAAAAATAATCAACAAATAAAACTGAGCTACTTTCTTTACGAAGTCTGATGATTCCATTTGTCCCTATTTACACGGTTTTCACATTCACGGTATACTATAAAGCTTTTCACAGCTAAGGAAAAAAAGAGATACAACTGGAAAAACAAAGTTACTTACAATTGTTCATCAAATGGATGAAAAGTAGAGAACAGAACTTTTCATATTTTGTTTCAGGTTATCTTTCATGTGGTTTCACCCATGATGATACATGTCTTGTAGACAGATGCACCATTTTAAACTCTCCAGAGGAGAGTTCACAAGTTTGCAATAAACTAATTTCAACTGGTGTATTGTGGAAAATGTTCGTAGATATCACACTACCAGTCAAACAGAGTAAATTAATTAAACTAATTCTAGTGTATAGAGTAAAAATTACCATATCCCAAACTATTTAAATTGAATATTTACCTTTTTTCATGCTCTAGAAAAAGTAATCATTCACCTTAAAGGAAACTTAAAAATTCATCAGTCTAAAACTAGGAGGCTATCTGTTGTAGGAATTAAAAAGCCATTGGTGTTTGTTGTCCACTACCAGAAGCAATTATGTCAATAACAAGCATTTTACAAGTTAATATATTAATCAAGCTCTATCTTAGAAGCAGCCCTGTAGTCTTAATGGTGCTGCATTTATCCTCTCCAAGAGCTCAGTTAGGTCATTTCTGAACCTGTAGACCTTGTTTTTTTTAGTCCTTGGTTTCAAAGCCAATCAAATGGAGAATAATGCACCACCTTCAAGATATTCTATGACAGTATAGGAAAATAAGATAATCAGCTGAACCAAAGAAACTTGCTGCTACATGAACATTCTTAAAGTCAGGTAAGGAGGTCCTGACAATACGCCAATAGTAAAAAATAAAAAGCTTTTCCAAAAGTGAATGCAAGAGAATCCTGAATGATAACTTGAAGGAAAAAGAGTTGGAAGAGTTGTACATGACTACACAAGACAAAGAAGTGGATTAGCTGCCCTTTAGAACCCTCTTTGACATGGCAATATATACAGGTGAACACACCAATAGAACTCAGCTTTATGTTAAATAAAGGGCATGCTGATTTGCACCAATGTGTACAACAAGTTTATATATGTCTCTGCATATATAATAGGAAATAAAATGTTTGAAAAAGTGTGATAAAGTTCAAAGCCACTTAAGAAAATTAAGCTTTCCATTAATACAATTTTATTAAGGTAGAGTCCTTTGGTTCCTCTCAAAATGTCAGAGCTTTAACAGAAAAAGCATTCAACTTACATCACATAAGGCACCATAACGAAGGATGGATAACAGGGAGTGGACATGACTCTCACTGGTAAAATACAGCCGTGTACGAACATGGCGTTCAGGGGACATAACACCCCTGGAGTAACTTGAAATAAAAAATAATCTTATTAGATCATAATGAGATATGTCTATTTTAAAAGTAGCTGTCAATAAATAAATAGATCATACTTTTAAAATTATTATGCGCTAGGAAGACATTTCAAATATAAAAGCTATGGAGTGTCTCCACTAAGTCTTACGGAAATTAATGTAGCCATGTAAAAAAAGTAGACTTACAGAGGGTGAAGCTTATTTACAGTATCATCATCTTGAGTTCTCTGAAGATCAGAACGGATTTTTCTAACAAGAGGAGTGCAGTAACCTTTAGCAATCTCTAGCTTTTCAGCCTTAGAAATGCCATATTCCTGTATAAGAAGAAATTTACTTCTAAAATTCAGTTAAAGATTAAAATGCTTCTAATTCAAAGCACTTACATTAAAGGAAATGAATCATCTGTTAGTTGGCTCTGGCTGCAAACTGTTTAGTTTAACATTATTACATTTTACATCATTATATTTTATTACATTTGATTACTGATATCCCTTCAAGTAAAAAGGGGTTTGCCTTTGCTGTTTGATTTGACGCAGAGAAACAGTTTTTCATTCATTAGTTAAACCACAAAAGCTGATTCAGATTCCGGTATGATGAAGCTCTTAAACAAAAAAAATCTAAGGAATTGTTCCTCTGCACCTTCCCCAGCCCCCAGTTTAGACATCTGTGGTGCATTTCATCTCACCTGATTTCCAATAACTTTGTTTTTTTTTAAAACAGTCAATGAAGAAACATAAGCATATTACCTATTTAATATGTATTAGTTTGGGGTAACACACCCCACAGAAGATCTCCTATTCACCTCAGGTAATACTAAAAATAATAGTTAAATACAAAAATATATCTTGAAAATATATCTGTTACAGTATCTAAAATACTTTAAAATCTCCTCTTTCAGAAGCTTTATGCTTTGTGCTGCCTATGTTATGAACGAGACCTCATTATGATGGAACTTCTATTTAGCCTAGAAAGCAAAACAAGCATTTTTTCTTTGGATTATGTAGGGTTATCATGTTTGCATTTCTTCCTTCAGTATGCGTCCTCCGTTTCACCTACTCTTCTCATAACATTCTACTCAAAATTTAAGCTTAATAGGCCCACACAATACAACACCAGTATCCTTGCTGTCTTTATCCTTGCAGTCATGCAAGTTTGTGAGATGGGGAGAGACAGGAGGTTCCCTCTTTTGTTGCTTGTAATACAGATAACACCTCTCTTAAAACAGTAAGATTCTGTAGCTGCACTGTAACTACAGCGACATTTGAGGAAAGCTTTAGTCTGTACTGATATCACAAAACAAATTCATGTCCTGCAGACTACAACGTTTTAGAGATAAGCTCAGTTTAGTAGTCTGTAGTATCTGGAAGTTTAACTTCCTCCCTTCTGGCCTAGAATTCTATTAATATTAATGTGCATATTTTTATCAGGGAGTGTTGAAGCAGCAGAAAGGTATTTTTAATTTCAATTTTTTAAAACAAGGAAAATTAGATCAGGATTACCAGTGTCATTCACAAAGAGACTAAAAAGGAAATTTATAAAAGCAGGAATAATGAAATTAAATGCAGTTTCAGAATGTACAATTGTTCACAGGGGTTCCACTTAAATCTATAACAAATGGCTACAATAAAACACTTTCTTTTAATACACTGCAGAAGAGGAAGCACACATGTTCATGGCTTAAAACCATCAGAAAAAAATAACCAGAAAAATTCACTTCGAACACGGCTTAATTAATTTAAAATAAATTTTTTTAAAAATAAATAATTAAAAAGCCAGCTTGCTACCAGAAGACAAGAGGTAACACTAAAGACTTCTATTACTGCAAAATACAGGAATCTTTAATAAAAAAGGCAGAGTAGACATTTTCCTAAAATTTGAAAAAGTGTTTATCTAGTAATTTTTTCTATTTAATAACTGAAAATGCTTACCTGAGGGATCACAATGTCAGCTAAAGCCTTTGAAAGCCTGTATAACTCCATTGTGTTTTCTAATTTTAAGGAGCCATTGTGCTGCACATCATATTTTATACAGTCATAAATATCAGGAATTTTACTAATATCGTATCTTCCATTTTTTGTTTTAAAGTCTTTTTCCAGCTTGGCCCACCTGCGCAGCATCAGTTCTAGTGTTTCACTGTGGTACAGCTGAATATCTGGAGAGACACATATCTCATATAAGTAATCTATACCATCCAAGTAACAAGAGGGAAATTTTAGTTACATGGTAGTAATAATTGAATACAGAGGGCTAAAAGGCATCAAATAAATTAACTGCTTTACTTCTAAGAAGAGGGAACAGATAGGCATATGGTTCATTTTACTTTTGAAAGCATCACAGTTAAATAGCTACATCAAGATAGTAGAAAGCTTTGCCACAGAAATGTATCACTGGCCTTCTAAGCAAAGCTACAGCACCAAGAATAAAGTGCCCTACAGCACAGATCATATATAAAAAAAGTCACCAAAAAATCTGTAAGGAAGTTCTAGAAGAGAGGAAGCGAAGGACAATGCCTCTGTTTTAGAGCAGACCACACATCCCATTTGTCTCTCTTGCATTTGTCAACAGAAAGAGACTGACAGAAAGGATGGATTATTAACACCCTAGGACAGCAGATTAGACAGACAAAAAAACACTGATACTGTGGTACAGGTGACACTTGTATGATTCAAAGTCCGAAGAGAAGCAGTCTGCATACCACACTGCAGAGAACACTGACAGCAAATAATCCAGTACTCAGCTAGTACCAAAATAGCACTGTGGTCACTTCAAGCTCTACTCTTTCCTGTGTCCTTTGTTCACACCATTAATATCATCAGTCTATACAGTACTACTACACATCATAGAGCAAGCAACAGGTCTTCAGCAAAGATACTTAAATATAAAAATGCACCTATGTAACTCAGTTTCAGTACCGTATACTTTTCCTATTACCTTTGCAGACTGTTGAGTTTCAAAAAATTAAGACTAGAATCTCTGCAAACATTTGAGAACTAGCCTGAACTTCTGAACCTACAGAGAGCCCTTACCTGCAGAATAACTACAAGTTCCTGCTGCTTTTTACTCTAAAATGATGCTTATGGAATCTGACTGTGAAAACTCCTAACCCATTGTTGATTTAAGTTCTGCTAAGAGCAAGTTTAATGAACAGAAGTTATGTTACAATTCTTTCTCCAACGTAAACAAGAGAAACTAAATAAAACTACAAAAATATTTAAGTACCTGCAGATTTTGGATCTTCCATTCTTTGCCTGATCTGAGAAGTCAAGCTCTGGATCAAGGAATAGACCTTGTCGCATGTCTTCACAGGGTTTTTAATAACCTGCATTGACTTTATCAATGAGATGCTTCCAGATGGAGTAAGCTGCAATTTGAGATAAACACAGAATTATCTAAAAAAAACTGACTAGATTTGAAAGAACTGGTGAGGTAAGGTGGAAGGTATTAAAGATTCAAAACAGTCAATATCCATGTAAGTGAGGCTTATCCTCATTTTTTCAGAAAAGTCTGCATAGTCCAAAATAAGTAAACTATTATATTAAACCATAATATATATATATACATATGTAACACACATATTGCCCTTTCTCCAGTTTCCTCAAATGTGTAAGATAACAGGGATATGGAAAATGGCTGCTCTCTACCTAATAGTAAGTAGTTCTTACCTACCTATTATGACCAAATAAATCAACAGGAAAGGTGGTCTGGTGCAGAAAAAAACCCTTATTGTTTTCCCAACACACAAGTAAGTTTAAACAAACAAACCAACCAAAGTTATTAGCACTTCATAATCCCAAAGGTTAGTTACTTTCAGTGAATGTCTTGGAAGAGTGTTTTCTGTTAGTTGCAGCTATCTTTCAGATCTCATTATCTCTTTATAGCAAAAAGGAGAGGGAAGATAAAAAATCCTGGGGACCTTGTACCCTTTCATGTTTTCCAAGTACTCCTGAGTCCACTGCTGGGACTGGTTTTGGTAATACCTTTATATCTTAAACAAATTCACAAAGAACATTCATGCAGCGTGGCAAAATTACTTTTCAATAATTTGCTCTCAATACCTGTTAGAAAACTGCAGCTTAAGTTTAAACCTCATTTAAGGACTTGTATTTAGTTGCTATACCAGAGTTGAGATGACTGAAAGAGAAAGAAGTTTCTTAACAACAAAAAACATTACTTAGGCTTAAAACCAGGAACAGTCATGTGTGTTCTGCACTAAGTCATCATAAACTATATCAATATGCACTAATCTAGCATGCTAATGAGACATTTCCTTTCACTGATAAGAAACAATTCTACTGTTTTCAAAATCTTAGAATTATTCTTAGAACTACAGAAAACACCTTGTAGCAGATGAACTATTAGAACAACTATAGTGAACAGGCAATACATTTTGTAATACCACACACAGTCAAAGAAAGTGTAAACAAGATGGCTTCATTTCTTGAATAATTAAAATATTTTAATGGAACAGTGAAAAAGATTTACGAATGATGACCCTATCTACTCCTATTTTGAAGTTTATAGCTATTCTGATTATTTAAACTGCAAGAGAGCTCAAAATATCTAATATCACAATTGGTAAAACTTCCTTTCTAGTTCAAATTACTTGCAAGCACACAGATTATTTTTCAAAATAAATACATGTGAACACTGCTTGTTACTTTTACACAAGAATTTGTGTGGGTATTTATTTAATTTCACAAAAAACTAATTGTATGCTAACCTTATCATAATCTTCAGCAGTAAATTCTCTGTCTCTCTGGAGAATCTCATGGAGTCTTGCTTTAACACGATGCTGACAGCTGCTTAAAGAATCACTGTCACTGTCCAACAGACCATTCATATTTGCACTTTTTACCATCTGGACAAGGATAGGAGTCAGCTCACCCTCCAAGGCCAGGAGTCCCTGAAGCAAATAATACAATTTATCAGGCAAACAGATAAAGAGTATAAGATAATCTAAAAAAAACCCCACCCAAAACACTTACTTAAATTCAAGATTGTATCACTTGCCTATGGGTTAGGCTCACACGGACTTGGTAGACAATGCAGATGTTTGCACAGAAATGGCCCCCAAAACACTCCCTCTGTGTGCAGGATTGCTATAGTTGGTGCAACAGTGACAGTGCCTTGCCATAGAGCATGCTCCCCAGCACTAGCTGAAGACATCCCAGCATCTTTGTAGTGTCAACATTGTGCCTGGGAGGCCATAACTGTTCAGATATTGGGTTGTAGGGAGTGCATGACCACAGAATCACAGAATCTTAGGGGTTGGAAGGGACCTCGAAAGATCATCTAATACAACCCCCCTGACAGAGCAGGATCACCTAGAGCACATCACACAGGAACATGTCCAGGTGGGTTTTGAATGTCTCCAGTGAAGGAGACTCCATAACCTCTCTAGACAGCCTGTTCCAGTGTTCCATCACACTCATAGGAAAGAAGTTTTTTCTGATGTTTATGTGGAACCTCCTATGTTCCAGCTTGTACCCATTGCCCCTTGTCCTATCACTAGATATCACTGTAAAAAGCCTGGCTCCATGCTTGAGACACTCACCCTTAACATATTTGTAAACACTGATGAGGACACCCCTCAGTCTCCTCCAAGCTAGAGGCCCAACTCCCTCAGCCTTTCCACATCAGGGAGATGTTCCACTCCATCATCTTTGTGGCTCTGAGCTGGACTCTTTCAAGCAGCTCCCTGTCCTTCTTGAGCTGAGGGGCACAGAACTGGACACAATATTCCAGATGAGGCCTCACCGAGGCAGAATAGAGGGGGAGGAGAACCACCCTTGACCTACTAACCACACCCTTTCTAATGCACCCCAGGATGTCATTGGTCTTCTTGGCTACAAGAGCACATTGCTGGCTCATGGTCATCCTCCTGTCCACCAGGACCCCCAGGTCCCTTTCTTCTACACTCCTTTCCAGCAGTTCAATGCCCAACCTGTACTGGGACATGGGGTTGTTCTTCCCCAGATGCAAGACTCTACATTTGCCCTTGTTGAATTTCATCAAGTTTCTCCCCACGCAACTCTCCAGCCTATGTAGGTCTCACTAACCCTAACCCTGGGGCTGGGAGAAACAACAAACTGGTTTTTGGGAGACATGCTCTGCTCAAGGCACTGAGTTACAAAACAGAAGCTATGGGAAGAGTTAGCAAACTAAATAGAATCTGGGAGGAAAAATGGCAGACAGGCAGGATCTTTGCAGAACGCAACAGTGGCAAAAGCCAAATCTCTGTGTAACACAGGACAATGATCAAAGGCTATCGTTGAACAAGAGGTGAATGGAGACTTCTAAAATGGAGAGGGCTGGAAACGTTTGTGACTTTCCTGGTAATAGAAAGCCTCTGGCATACAGAAGGAAATGGGGTGGTATTTCCTCAAGCCTGTTGACCAAGGAGAAAGCAGGACAGATGGCTGAAATACTTCTGCACCAACATATGCAGCATGGAAACTATGAAGAGAAATAAGAAGTCTGAACATTTACTGTGCTTTAAGTTTATTCAGCTCACTGAGATGTAGTGGAATAGTCTACTTGAATGGAGTTCTGTTACACCTAGATACAAGGCCCTTTGGAAGCCACTTAGCCCTGGGTACCTCATGTATGGGCAATGTTGCAGGGGACAATCAATCCAGACTTCAGAAAAACACCCAGAACAATTCCTTGACACAGGTTAGTGATGAACTATCGATTAGGGGCATTCCCTTTAAACCTGTTACTCAGAAGTGCTAGGAGCATGCAGGGCAATGACAGCCTTGGTAATTGAAACCTAGTAATTATGACAGAGGCTTTGAAAAGTGAACAAGAAAATAGCTGCAAAAGAGCAGTTGGCTTTGACATATGGAAAGTCATGCAGAAAGTCAGCATGGACAAAAAGGGAGCACACAGAAGATGAAAGCATGGATGGGCTACTTGGGCGGAACAGAAACAAAACCTGAAAATGAGGGGTAAAATTAAAAACCTGGAGTGGTTGTGGACCTCTGTTCCACTCAGAATTTGACTCAATATGATTCTGAGCAACTTCATCTAAAGGCTCTGTGCTGTGTGGAGTTGGACTGGATGACCTAGGGAGGCACCTTGAAACCTAGACCTCTCTATTATTACTGAAACTCATTCATTTAAGACGTATTTATGTAACACTTGCACTGTTTGTGTCCTCTCACATGATTAAAGATCTCTATCACTGAAATAAGGAAATAAGGAAATAAATTAACAACAAGCAGAAGTATTAGTTGTTCAAGGGGCACTTGAGGAGCAATGAGGAATCTGGCTAGCATGAAGAAGGGTAGAAGTTTTGCATGCCCACTCCCTGGACGTGTTCATAGCCAGGCTGGATGGAGCCTGGAGCAATCTGGTGTCCCTGCTGATGGCACAGAGGTTGGAATTAGATGATCTTTAATGCCTTCTCCAACCCAAACCATTCTATGATTTTATGATTTTGGAGATTACCTCTGGAAATGACTAGGGTATATTGATAGGGCTGTATAATCAAAACCTGTTTGCATCTACTCAAGTAACTAAAAATGCTTGTCATATAGACACTTTTAAAAATTGAACTAAATACTCTGACATTATATTACATACACAGCCTTACTACACATTTTGGATTCTAATAAATCATAAGTCTTCCCTAGTCTTCAAAAGAAAACCAAAACATCGGAGAACATCAGAGTTTTAAAAATTGATAAAACAGTTTCACATTGTACCTTTGCAAAAGCTGCTGCCGTCATCTGAACTCGTCCCTCATCAGAAGCATAGATTTTGAGATCATGTCGGTAAGTGCTGTGTAATCTAAGTAAACCACATCCAGGAAACCCAGCATAATCTCCTAACAAACAAAAATTTTGCTCAAACTCTCATTTTGCACTTGATTATCTTCAAAAAGGATTTATGTCATTGAACTTTTTTTTTTTTTACCTTGTCCACCTGGATACATACACCTGAAAGCCCTTCCAAGCTCCTCTGCTTGAACCCTGCCTGCAGGGGTTAATTCTCCTCCCCATTTTAGAACCAGAAGCAGGGATGGCTCATTTCTTCTATTATCTAATTGTACACAGAGAGAGGAGTTTAGTAGTGTAGTAGAAAGCTTTTTTTTTTTTTTTAGCATAGGAACAAAAATATTTGGACTATGCAGGACATCAGTAAAGGATCTCTTCAAATTCATGCATTTTTAATAGAATTCTAACAAAGAAAATATTAAACCGGAGAACTAAATGGGCATTAAAAAGAGAAAAGTGAAGCAGCTAAATTACACAGAAAACATAAGTGAAACATAGTCATCATGAATTCTGATGCAAAAAGTGAAGTGGATGCTAAATACTCTACAGTGATTTCAGTCAATAAGCAATAGGTCCAGGACCACGAAAGACTATCAAAGTTTTAAAGACAGCAGTCAATGTTGAGTGACATTTTCCTAACCTGGCACCAAAATACAATTTTTGGTGAATCACTAAAGATTCTTTTCACCCTGCTTCTCTGTTACAAATGCATAGTGTCAGAATACGACATAATTTCAGGTGTACAATTCAGCAGATTAAAAGACTCTAAAGATCTGCCAACACTACAAACATTAATTCAAAACAACATACTCCTTACTCTTAACATCAAGACATGTTATACCACTACTCCATGACTATTTAAGCACATGTGCTACTAAGGTGCAAAAGTAATACAATACCTTCCTCTTCACTGGAAGTTTTTGGACAACCATGAGGAAGATATGTCAACTGAACTTTGCGATTTATGCCTGAAAAATGCCCATACCTGAAGTAGGAACACAGGAAAGTCAGATGGGAAGAGAGAGAGAAACATTTTAAATATCTCCTTTCAGACCTGCTATGCTCCTGTAACAGCATTATAATAAATCTATGCCAGTCAACGATTTGGGCATTTGACCACCATTGTTGAAGCTTAAAACAAACCTAACTCAATAAGCACAGAATGACTACAGAAATATCAGCCATTCTACAATGAAACATTTAAAAATGCTATCTAGGAGTCTTTTCACAACACTGAACACAAAACAGACACACAAAAAAAAAGCATTTTGAGATTGCACAAATAATTTATCTATTCAGATCCACATTTACAGTGGCTATGAGTATCTAGAACATGATCCAACAGTGCAGATAGCTACTATTTTGTTAACCAAGTAAGTTCCCAAGCAGAATTCCATAATTCAAAATAAATCAAAAAACAACTGTAATGAATTTCAATAAGTGTCTTCACCCTGGATTTTTTTCTCTACTACCATTTAGAGATTTGAGATCCCAGATCTTTACCAAAACTTGAAGCTCTAGGGTTTGCTTTTTTTCCCTTTTTAAAAATTTTTAATATTTCAGACTTAATATACAAAGCCCTATTTATTTGGGATCAATCAAGTTTGCTGTAAGTGGTTAAAGTTCTTCCTGGCTCCATCAGAATTCCTTCTGTCACACAATACAAGAAGTAGACCCTGTGCTCAAACATTTTAAGTTTAAAAACAAGCAAGAAGATAAAATTTGAAAGTAACTTTTTAATGTACAACATATAGTGAGATACTAGATAGAGCAATAAGTTCAATTAAAAAGATAACAAGAATAAACAGAGAGATGGCCCAGTTTTCCTTCACTCTCATTCATAATGTAAAACATTACATTCTTTCTCTTGATAAGCTGTGTAATATAATATTACAACTTTGATAACCACTGTAAATCCAAGAAGTAACTGGTCAAACACGTCAAAACAGCAGATACAACTTTTTTGCTATGAAGTCTGAAAATCAGTCACTTACATTTCTAACACAGTCTTTAGCTGTTCAAGTTTTGCCTTACTTTCTTCAATTTCAGAATCATTGTTTTGCCCAAGTTCTATAAGAAGTTGTCTTGCTATATCAAGCACTTCCTAAAGAAAAGAAACATAGGATTTATTTAAATAAATAATTTTCTACTCATAAAATTCAAGAAAATAAGGACAAACTTGCCTGCAACTGTTTTGGTTTTTTCAGTTTTAGTTTTCCAGATTTATACCCATCACATTTTTCAAAGAGATCAAAAAACCTTTAAGAGAAATAATATTGATTAAAAACACACTTAGTAACTTAAAATAGTACTTGAACAAATGGCTCTTAAACTTAGAGTGGTCTGAAACTGGCACCTTTACACTATTTGAAAAGTACCTTAAGACCTGCACTACAGAGGTCAAACCAATCTTTATTCAAATCCCACTCTTCAAGAAAGTCTTCAACACATTAGAGTACTAAAAATGTTCTCTTACTGACTTGCTAAGTGTTAAAAAAAAGGGAAGATATTCTATATATCAAATACCATACTATTTGAATAGACAGCTATGTCAATTCTTAATCATCAAGAATGATCCTCAACAGAAGCAGGGATCAAAAATACCAAGTGAGCAGCCCTAAAACACTTTCAGCATCTATCTCTGAATGCAAGAATCTTGTCGCAAAACAAATTATTATTTTTACTGAAATTGCTCCTATCTCCAGGCCAATTATGTAAGGCATTTTACAAATGCTAACACGGAGGTGGTCTCTACCAGAAATTCAGTGTCATCAAGCTTTCATTAAAGTAAAAGACGTAAGGTCGTGCAGCAAGATGACAACTCACACAAGAACAGTTATGATAAAAAGAAAAAGGCAGAAGTCACAGTGAAATGATGAAACAATTCTTTGCGCTATTTTGAATAATGACATCTATAGAGACAAATGCATTTTCCTTAATATCAAGTAGGGCTGTTCAGAAAGCACAGTGTGTGCTAAAGGAAATCTGCACGACAAATCTGACAGTTTTTTTAGGAGAGGAGCATGATTGTTAATTAGCTGCAATATCAGTTACATTTAAAATAAAAAAACAAAACAAAACAAACAAAAAACAACTTCTATGATAGAATTCCTGCTCGATTAATTGCTTGTACACCCCAGGAAGTAAGCAGTGCTCTAAAACATCCAAACTAATTTTTACGAAGATTCAACTTACTTCTGATGTTTTACTTCCATTTTCATTTTTTGTTTTGGTGTTCGGTCCCCATGGCGTATTACAGCTATAACACATCTAAGCTCCATCCTGAAATTTCAACAAGAGTTATCTTTCACAATGCTATATATGAGGGTCTTTAATATTAAAACCACCACAAATCAAGACAATTGACAGTCATAGTTATCTGACATAACTACAGAAATGATGGAGGGATATGCAAGAACATAAGGTTAACTGACAATTATGTAAGGTATAAAATACAAATAACGATTTTAAGACTTGGGTAACTATAGAATATCTATTTTAAGTAGTTTTTAAAACAGTGATTTTGAGTTTCATTAAATGAGAGAGCATGTTTATTAAAAGCGCATATTAAGTTGGTGCTGAAACAATGATTAGCAGTGAAGAAAGCTATGCATAAAAGATGCTACACTGGAAAATCTGCTGTTCTATACTCAGCTTGACTAAGCGTCATAAATTCTGACTGCTGGCATAGCAATTGTGATTCCTTCCTTGTTTTCGTCACACAAAACAAATGTTCATAGGCCAAAGTGGACACACCTTGTGAAGAGAAAAAAAAAATTCACACAAAAGTTACATCAGGAGTTTGCACAATTCAGGTTTAGCTAGCATTTTCTTACATGGTTCCAGAGGTGGTTGGCACAATAGGGATGTCTTCAGCTTCCAAAGGAATTGACCATGGTATATGAAACTGGGGAGCAAGCTCTCTCATTATGATATTTCTAAAGCAGGGGTTAAAAAGAAAAAAAAATAACACTGAGTTTGAAGCTTACACAATGCATATAAATGCCAAACTAAATACATAAGTATACACAAGGATTTTTATCAGTGTGGTTTTAGAGTATTAGTGGTCGTGAGTCTCGAGATGCATATTTTTCCACTTAATAGTATAATAAAAAAAATACATAAAACAAAAATTTAAAGCTACTGCAACTGCTACAGAGACAATACTAGCCCAATGTCCCTGTATTTGTAAGAACCTTCAGCTTCTTAACTTCAGATCCTAAAAGAGTTCCTTTGATACGATCTAGTCTTGTTCATTTTCATATTCAGATACTTGACTCCAATGCCTAACTGAAAGTCCCTGGTAATCAGCAAGCTGTTCTCAAAGGGTAACTGGTACCATTAGTGGTAGTTTCTCACAATTTTCTGTGATAGAACTGGAAAAACTGGTAAGGTCTCCGGTCATAACTACAAAATCATATCACTGCCTCCAGCTATAGAAGGTTGTCTAATCTTGCAAATGCCCTGTTTCTCTGTATTTCGTAAAAATATACTGAACTTCAGATTAGTATCTATGTAAGAAGCAGCAACACTGAGAAAAAAAAAAATCCATCTTAAAGTAGCATAAGCCAAAATTTATATTCTAAAAATAAAAAAAAAAAATCCCCTGTTACATAACACAGCAATGTGTTACCTTAAGGAACAAAGTGTAAGTAAAAAAAATTCTGAGATAACTTTTTCCAGATAATTCAATACCTACAACAATTTAATTTAAAATAAAACAAAACTGGTCTGAGAATTGTAAATCAAAAGGTGGCCTAAAACACCATGACTACAGTTTCTAGCCAGGACTTCAGCATAGCTCTTCCTCTGTTTAATAAAATCCCAGACCATTTGACAATGCAGAAAGTCATGCTGTACCTCATCAGTGCAATCTTACTGTAAAGCCAATTTAACTTGCCAAAATGGCATCAGCCTACTCCAAGAGCAACATTTCATTGGCATAGAGTTCACTAACCTGTTCACTACTACTGTACAAACTCTTGTTATAGATTTTTTTTTTGCTCCCAGAAGTAAAGAGAATATGGTATGACAGACACACCTTGAAATCACATCATTTTGGATTTACCAGTATGAAATCCAGAAATATACACCAGCTGCAGGTCAAGGAAAATGTACACTCATTTGAGAACATACTAAACAGCAATGAGCATAACCATTCAGTGGCGTGTCTCTACTTGAAAAAAAACTCAACTGTCTTTAAGAACTTAATCCAGCTTTCAAAATATTTACTCAGTTAGCCTAAAGTGTTCACAAAACATTCAGACGTTTTGGATTATTTTAGGAATAAAGAATGTACTTGGCATTTACTTATTGCTTTAGGATTATTTTTAATATTTCATTTATTTTATTTAATTACTTATTTGATATGATACTGCATTTAATACTGAATTTAATACTGAATTTTAATAAGTAGTACCTAGACTAAGTACATGCAACAGAGCATATAGGCAAAACTGATTTAAAAAAAAAAAAAAAAAAAATCAAAAAACTTTTTCCCCAGTATCTTAGCACAATCATCATAGTATTTCATGGAGTTTTTCACAAAACTGAAGCCATTCACATCACAGACATAGGACTGTCCATTAGCACGCAGCAAATCAAAGCCACAAACTGTTTGCTATTTTAAGAATACAAGTTCAGGTCATTGATTGGCTTCCTTTGGATTGCTTACTCAAAATAACTTTGTATTTTAACATTGTATTCATGGTATTCATCTGAATACATGACAAAAATATGACACATTTTATACTTAGCAACATTTTTCAGTTCCAGTTTTGCTGATATTGTCTGAACATCCTCCTATTTTTAACTTTATATCCCCAAGTTTACTTTAGGCTTCCTGCATAACCGTAGTAGTATCAGACATGTACAAACTTAATCTTCAAGATTTACAGCACAAGCAATGATGGGCCTATAAATTCCCCATTTTGAGAGTGATTTCCCCCTACAGATAGGTTTTAAGGCAAGAACTGACAAAATACTGATAAAAATAATTCAGACCACATTTAAATTTGACAGTATGATAGCTTTGACATTGAAATAATACTGACATTATTAGTATAGGATACTAGATGGTATTTCAACAGCTTTCTTTTTAGATCTCAAAGCCACTTTGCTAGGTGATCTTGGTTCACTCCCTACAGGCTCCAGAATGCAAACACAGTTACTACAGGTAATGGGACAGACAGAAAGACAGCTCTTTAATAGGACAAGCGAAACGAGGGTTAGAGATTGAATGAAACTTTGAGCAAAGGAATCTTCAGATATGCAAAAAGAGAAACTATCAAACACTTCAAACAAGGACCTAGTCATGTCAATACCAAATTAACATTTAATTGGGCCCAATGTAAACACTAAGTATACAAAGTTACAAAAAATTCACTACTGAAACTCCGTTTCACTAACACAGAAATCATTAACAAAATGTGTGAACACAGCATGCATAGAACACATACACTGCAGACTAGCAAGGTACAATAGCAACATGTGAATTCAGGGAACTTATGCAACGTAAGCAACCAACCTGAACATTTCAATGCATTAAATGAAGAATTCTAGAATTAAAAAAAATACGGATGTGGAAGTTTAACTTTTCACATTTCTAAGAGGTTTGTAGCAATTATCACTGCTGGCTCCATGCACTAAAATCCTGCAGAAGTTTCATGTAATAAACAATTAATCAACACTAAATGTTTGATCAGATAAGGAAAGTAATTAGCTTACTTTAAAGGCCAGGCATACTTTCCAAGCAATTAACTTCTCTCTTGCATTCAGGATGACTGGATACCTCACTTCTTTTCCTTCACTATCTCGTTCTACCTTGCCATCCAGAGCTGGAGACTTGCGGGCTTCAGCATGAGCATAGTCTGGACCTACTGTGTACACCTTTATCAAAAAACAAGAACCTTTCATACAGTGTAATTAAATTACATTACCTATATGCCTACATCTTGTTGAATTTATCTGAAAGTGTGATGACCTCAAAAGATACTATCTACTCTCATCGTTAAGGTCACTCTTCCTTCAGAGAACTCTTATAATTTACTGAACTAGGATAAAGCAAAAGGAAAAATCAGCTTAAGTTGACAGTAATTTAAAAAAAATGATAAATGAAATTATTAATTACCGTGGTACAGAGGTAAAGAAAAATGCTTTCCTCTCCAAAACATCTGCAGAACTTGGAAAGCAAATTAGATAATTGAGTTTACTTGATTATGGAAATCTGGCTGCAGAACTAAGTGAATCTCCACATTAAAAAATTATTTTAGGTGGGACCAAACGAAGCAAAGATCTGCCTAGTTTTGGCATAACTTGAGAGAATGATTGTGTTACCTACTTCATTACAGTTTTGATGCTCACTGAAAGGATTGGGGCATATGCTGGAAGACTTGTCAGCAGCTCTCAAAGCTGGGCTACTGTCACTTTAAAACCTATTTATTTGGAGTGATTAAATCTACAGCTACTGCTTCATGACTACAGGATATAACTAGTAGCCAAAATAGTACCATTCCCTCAAGTCATTTGAACCTCTTCAGGATGCAAGGAACTCCTTTTTGGAAACTGTAAAGCTCCTACACAGACATCTGTAAACTCAGATTATCCTATTACGAAGTGCTGCACACTATAACCATCTCAAGAGTATAGGTCATGAAAACACAGCAACTTAAAGAACAGAGAATTCGTTGAGAACATAAAACGAGCATTCCCCTAAACTACCACCAAGTAGAAGAAGTCGTCTGCAACTGATAAAAAAGCTCTTTGGACCAGGATTGCTTTAGATTTCATACTCTCTAAACCTCCATTGTTGTTTAAATATGGTAATCTAAAACATTTGTTTCACATGTTTTATGATGGGCTTAAAACAGACAGGGAAAAAAAGTAATCACAACACAACTGACTTAAAATCTATTCTGTTATTGTTGTACTTTAGCACTCTGATACTTAATTTTTACATTTTTTAACAAAATAGATGAACAAAAGAGTGAAAATACTTACAGTTAAGGTCAATGCATTATCTTCTGCAGCTTCATATAATTTTAGTAAGCAACTTTTGTTTATTAATTAGAATACTATGATGGCTGGTAAAATCTATTTCAAACTTCAGACAAAATACCTAGTTAGCATTTATCTGTTTGCACAGGGGAGTATATTCTGTTCTGGCACTAATACAATGCAAAAAAAGAAAGACAATGTTTTGGGTAGTAAGTCTCCAGCACTTAATTCAGCAGCATAAGCAAAGCTGCTCACAAGTACTGTGTTTAACTAGAATATTAAGTACATTCTTTACTTATGAACTGCAGCAAAACTTCATAAAAATTAATCCTTGACACAACAATATACTATCATCTTTAAAACTGACAAGCTATTGGAGCACTCAATTGTTCTAAATACAAATAAAAATGCACTGTGGTCATACCTTTACATCAGTGCCATCTGTAGGCATGAATTCCTCATAAATGTAGGAGCCTGTTTTTCTCACACTGCTTTCAGGGGAATAAACACTGCTTCTGCTGCCAATCTGAAATGAATAATTTTCTATTAATAAACTGATAGGCTACTACTTAAGAAAATTTAGAACTATTTAAAACAGCACACTTGTACTGAGAAAACACTTCCTGTACCAGATGAAGCAAGTAGGTTTTGATCATTCCCAAAAGATTTTTGTAAGATTCTAGAAGTACACTGACAGTATATACTTATTCTACTTTTGAGATTCTGCAGTGGCTAACAATCTACTGCAAGGAACATCAGTCTTCATTCAATACATGTTACCTCAAAATTAACTTCTCTGATCTGTCACTACTCCTGCACAAGCAGGACATGTCAAAAGAGGTCCCAGCTAACATAAGGGACTGCTCTACAATTCTGACATCTACAACTTTTTAACAGATTGAGTACAATACCCTCTCACCTTTCGAAAGAGTCTTTGGCTTCCACCCCCAGCAGATGTTGGGTAATAAATGTAAACATTGTGGTCCTCAGCACTAACTGGCTTTTCTACAAAAGGTTTTTGGAAAATTTCTCCATTCACTTCCACATGATCTTCTCCTTCAATTAGGTTGCATTCTGAAGAAAAAGTGCAAATAACAGAAACATAATAACATATTCAGGGAATGAAATTATTAGAAATTTGGGGTAAATCTGCAGGTTGAAATAAAAAATTTTTATTACATTTTTGGTTCACTGATTTGTTCCTGACTGCATAAAAACCTGAGTACCTTTTGCTCAACACTGTCTGCTGTACCATACCTGTATTATGTTACTTTTAATTAATGGTAATTCCAGGATTTCTGTGGCAGTCTCCTACAGATGGATAAGCTTGCATGGATGGTGGTTTTTTTGGAAATGCTTTGAAGATGGGGGAAGGGCTGTTTGTTTTTTTCAATATTATTTTCTTTAAATAACAGAGGGATGGCAGATGTACAGCAAACATGGTGTGGTGCCAGATGTAGCAGTTCTTTTAAACAGGCTGAGAACTCTCTCACTGTGTGATTGATTAACCTTGCACAGAGGATTAGGTGCTCTGGAATAAGAGATCAGGAATCACAAATGGTTGGCTACATGCAGCAGCTTTTGACTTTTTTAGTATGAGTCCTTTTCCCCTTAGATGCTGCACACATTTTAACATGAAATTCCTTACCTCTTAAGAGCTACAACACAGTAATATTTCACTTTTATTTTTTTCTTACTCTCGTGTCTTGATTCCTCATTGCAATCTCCTATTGTTGCTGCAAGTTTACATTTTAGTAGAAAACGTTATGATTCTTTTCAGGTACAGAAAAAATGATACCAATTTATATTCAGAGTATATCATCTGGACATCTGTCTGGACTAGATTTCCCATACAGTGTTGCCTTGTACTTAAAAAAAAAAAGTATTCAATAGTCTGACTTGTTTCTGTCAATATTACTTTCCTAAGTAAAATTATATCACAAACCCTGCTCTCTTTAGTGAAATACTGGAATCCCAGTTTGACTTATATTCTAGTTTTTCTATGATGCCTGTAACGAGGATCATGACTCCAGGCTTCAGAATCATACTTTTTAGATGCATACTTATACTGCCTTTAGCTGGGATGGAGCTAATTTTCTTAACAGCAACTGGTATGGTGTTATGTTTTGAATTTGTGACCAAAACAGTCTTGACGTTTTAGCTACTGCTCAACAGTGCCTACACAGCATCAACACCTTTCATACACTGTCCCCAAAGCTAGTAAGGGCTAATCCACAACAGTATTTTAAATAGTAGAGGATAAATCAACCTCTGCAACAATGAATTGATACCCTAGCAAGTGAAATTTAGCTTTCTCCCAGTTAGATACTGTTCTCCAGTAGAAACAAAGTGACAGCGATGGTTGACGATATTTTAATCATCAGTTTTTACCTTGGGGATTGTTTGGATCACGGTTCAGAACTGCATAGCGAGGAAGTAAAATGCCCTCAGCTTTCAGAATACTGTATACTTCTCTCCTAGATGAAAAGACCAAAAATTGCAATAATGTATTTCACGGTCCAGGAGTATGAGGAGAAAAATAATACAATTATTATTTTTTAAAATCACACAGGTTCAGTTTACATACATGATACTATACTTACTAATATAATGCTTTAAAGGTCAATGACACAGCTGTATCTTTGCAGTGATCTCATCAATATAAATAAAAATGCAATTTGCTATGCAGGGTCCTTCAATTGAGCAGTGCAACTGCAATTTATACAGAACCATTCACTCATTAAACAAGATTAATAATATGAAGGCTTGAATAAGTGTATACAGGACAGCAGCTGAAGGCATCCAAAATAGCATGTCTGCTCACTATTCAGAAAACTCCAATGTTTATGTATTTTGCTCACTCTTGTTTTGTTGATATTTGCCCACCCATGATTGCTGCCTCAAAACAAAGTTAATTTTGAATAACTATACAATCTTTGAATACGAAAAAAAAGACCTTTAGTAAGTCACATGAATTGTATAGTTACAGGAGTTTGTACAGTTGCTATACATAACTATGGTATACATATATTAAAAGTTTTAATTTCTTTATTTGCTAAGCATTAGGACAAATCTGTTACCAAATTTTTTACCTTGGTAAATCTTCAGACGTATCAACATAAAAGCAGTAAAATAAAAAATAAACCCAAAATCACATAATTGCAGAATATTATGCATACATCTATAAAATACAGCATTAATGGCAATTTTATTTATACTATTGTACAATACACTGGAACTGATGATATGCAATACCAACAGATTCGTATGGTCTCCAACTTAAAAGCAGTTTGGTCTTTACAGGTATTTGTTTTTACTTACCTGTCTTGTATGTGATACTGCATATTCAAGTCATTGATTATGAATGGATTCCTGAGTTTTGCATAGGCAACTGCTTTGTCCAGTGGAAAACCTGAAACATTTATTAAGGCAAACAAAACTACAAGTCACAACAGTGCAACTGGAGAGATGGCGTAAATGGGAATATGCTCCCTCAACTACGGACACACACAACATTATCTTAAGATGATCATGAAACTAAATCTAATTTTAGTTGAGGCTACCAAAAGCAGTGGTCTTGTCTTCAATTCACTCTTCCTCACTCTACATGCCCTTAAATAGGACCAGAACCAAGGTTTTCATTGCCTCTGCCTGAAAATACGATTTTTAACTTCAGTCTGCTCATCTTTGGTTCACCGCCCAGCCCCACAAAAAACCCAAGATACTAGCAGAGATCCATGAACAAGCGGCCAGAGATCCAAAACTCCCAGTGGGAAAGTAGCATGCCTTCTCAGTTATTGGACCAAGAATTAGTTCACCATTTCCACTAGCTTCTCAAATATTTACCAATGGAATAGCTATTTTAAATATCATGCCAGACAGGACTTTCTCAAGCAATGAAAACAGTATAATTAAAAATGCCTGTATTTTAAAAGTTAGTTGTATTCAAACTGGCTAAAGTAGGAAGATGCCAAAAATATTTATGGTATTATTAGAAGATTTACCTTTAGAATGAAAAGAAATGAGACAGTCACATAACGGCCAGTTTTCTACTGGCTCATTCAAAATAACATCCTCTTCAAATATTACCACAGTTATGTACTTAAACATGGAGAGGCGTTCAAGAATTTCTTTCATTGGTTTGGACTTAGATTTCTTTGCCATTGAACAAATCCCAACTGCAATTTGTCTTTCAGGAGGCTGAAAGGGGGGGAAAAAGGAATTATTATTTTTCAGTTTCTCAGAACGCAACAGGGTTTTAGCTGCACAATACCAGAGCAGATAGTCTCTTTTTTAATCAGGTAAATTGCTAGCAGGTAACAAAATGCAGCATGACAGCACAGCAAACTGTATCCTCAGGAAAATTCCTCAAAAAGTGAAACTGTTCAATAGCCTTATACTACTTTCTGTGAGAATCATATAATGAACAAACACAGAGGACCAAAATCTAAGTCAGAAATGGCAAACCTGAATAATACCATACTTACAGCTTACTCTGAAATTAACCAGTAATTTATTTTTAAGCTATTTGATTTTTCTACACCTACTTAGTAGCCACAAGGATTCTCATCTTATTACTTAAATTACAAGTAAATAATGAAAACAAGTGAACCAGAAAACACTATTTTAGATTTCTGAGCCATTCTGTGCATAGACAGTTTCACTTTTCTTTGGGTTACTCTGTATTTTCTTTCATGCTATAAGCATCTAAATATTTCTTTCCCTGGTGGTGTTCCTAAGTGCCACAGCCAACTTCCTCCTCTGTTTAAAAAGAAACAAACTAACAAACCCCACCCAGAACAATCCTTTATTTCAACTTACTGTTCTTTTAAGACATAGCTGATTACTTTCTCTTGCTAAATATACTGACTGAATTGAGCTGTCTGAGCTGCTACTTTGCACTACTTCTCTGCATTTTCAAGTTACTTTTAATCATGGTGATGAGTTTTATTCACACTTCTGTGTATTTAAATACTTCCAGGAATATTTGCCATCAGTGAAAATTTCATCTCACTGTTCCCTAAAGTGAAATCCTGCACACTAAAAGAACAGCAAAATACAGACAAAGAAAAATTACATAATGTAACAAATCATGCAGAACAAAATAGTTTGCCTTAAAAAAAAAAAAGGTTAAGCACAGTGCTAGTACAATTAAGAGCTGTCTGCAAGGATAATAAACTAAGGTGTAACTTCAGATTAACTTAGCACAAGCTTCTATACACCAAGACAAGAAGAACGAAAACATCTTGGATGTTAAGGCAAAAAGCGCAATGAAGAAAAAAACGTTGAGTCTGTTCAAACTGAAAAATCAGAAGTTAACTGCAGCAGTTGACAACACAGACAGAAGAAAAACTCTCAATCATGTTTTGCTACTAATTATCCAAATATATAAAATGAAGGCTTGTGCCATCAAGTTTATTCCCAGAATCGAAATCAAGTCTGAAAAGCTGAGACATTAACATCAGCTGCCCTGAAACTCTGCATTAAGGTCAACCACATCTACTTCAAAGCTTAACTTATGCTTACTTTTGAAGTGTTGCGCTTTTCCAAACATAACTGACAGATCATTATCCAAATTTCCTAACTCAACACAGTTTCAGTATTCGACTTTTGTGGTCTAATGCCATTTCAAAGTAAAATAATGCTAGAGAACATACAGAATAGTACACACATGTCCCTACAGTACATACAGAGTCATATTCTTCCTCCTCTTCTTCCCCGTAGAAGTGTTCATAATCTGTAGATCTGGTTGAATCCAGTAATTCTTCTCCATCTTCTCCACCCACGAAGAATCTAGGAGGATCATTCTCTGTTGCACTAACAGACATGGTTACAAGATCTAGAAAGATCTATGTAGAAGCTGCAGCCACTTTGGCAGCTGAGATACTGGGCATGTTTCCTACTGACTCAGGAATACAAAAGTCCTCTGCTCTTTGATACTCCTTGTCTGGTGTTGCCACTGCGATGACGTCTGTCAGACACTGTTTAACAGGTATCATCTGGTCATAATTGGTTTAAGCCGCTTCTCCAAGAAACTCACAATAGGCTGCTTCCCTGAGATAATAAAACTTTTCAACCTAAAAGAAGTATAAAAAAAAAATTAATAAAAAGAAAAAAACCACACTTGATAAACGCACATAAAAATAAACCCTTCGCATTTAGAAAAAGCATGCAGACATTTACATACCTCTGAGCAAAGCATCAGAAATAAAACCATGCACCCTACACACAGTTCACTCTTTTAAATGTATGCTTAGACAACAGGGAATAATTTCAAGGTCTTTTCAAACTACTGATGTAGACATTTTAAAAATAGCTCACATAACTCAAGAAAGTAAAAACTGCCCCAAAACTTTTTTTAAACTTAAGAAGGGTAAAGTGCAGAGTATATCTTTTATATGAAAAATAAACCCAAAAATCTTCTCCAATATCTGCAATATTTAACTCACCATCTGTCACCAGCTGTTTCTTCCCCAGACGTTTCCTGATCAAATGGCAACAGCAAACAGACAAAAATGCTAATGAAAACTATAAAGCCTTCATTAGGACTATTGTTAAATAGAAACCCATTACTTAAAAAATTGACTGAATCTTCAGTATGAAGTAGAATGTATGTGCCAGCTTGACATTTCCTTATCATTTCCAAAAAAGCATTAATTTTCATACTGAAATTTTTTTATATACAGAGATATACACTAGCACTGCCTTCTGCCAAAAGTACTTCTAATGCATTAGTGAATCAAACACATTATGTACCCTTTTAACCAGTCATGTGAAAACAGAATCTTGGCCAAGTAACTTTTATAGGGAAACAGAGACTCAGAGCTCAGTCTACTCTAACTAGGTAGCTCTTCTTGCCATAAGTTGTGTACAGCTTTATAACATTAATTATAATCTCTTTATTACTACAGTAGAAATAAGTTACTTGATTAGAAGCTCACCAGATGAAATTATTTGGGTTAAGTTGCTTATCAGTCAGATAATTACATAAGCGCCATTCAACAGTGATGTCTCAGCAGAACTGAATTTGTCTTTAAATATCTGTCAAAATTACTTAGGTTGTTCTATGAACGAAATGAAGCAACAGTAAATTCCCAATGGTGATCAACGATTGTCTGGTAAACAGAGCAAAAGTTAGTCAGAAAGAAACTGTGCTACGTCAGAGAGCAAAAGGTTAAGTGTGGGTAAACATTACAGCTCTTCCAAATCCAAAAGCTAAGGTCCAAACAGACAAATAACAAACACGGAGTGACAGCAGGGGATTAAAAAGATTCATTTCCTACATGTATGTTAGGTATCTGCTGTCAATGCAGCCATCTGCTCTTCAAGCAACAAGAACAAAATGAGATTTCAAACACCTAACTCATCTTGCTCCCAACAAGAGCAAGAAATGAGGTACTGAGATAAACGAACCTTGCTTATGAAAGGATGAAGTAAACAATCTTTCCAAACCTTCTTTCTAGCAAACCTCAGTGTCCTGGTTTGAGCCAGGATAAAGCCAATATACCTTTTACTGATTTTTATTTTTTTTTTTCCCCTTCAGTAAGCTTTCTTTTAACAAGCAGCAAGTGTTCCAGTTAGTGGACTGATAACACTGGAACGTTTATGTTACTGCCAAGACTCCAAGGTCGCTTCTTTGCTCTGCCACCTCAGATGCTACCGGGAGATCTATGACTGCCCCACCCCCACACCCCCATAAGGGAGGCTGAGCTAGAAGGACAGCAAAATTGGCCAGAGCTACACCATCTATGTAAGCTCAGAAGAAGGTCATAAATCACAGAAGACAACTTCCTTCCTGCTGCTTCTTCCCTTCTCTTCCCATCCATGGCTGGTGTCCACGGAGGACTCCATCTATCCATCACTGTCGACTCCCAGGCTCGAGCTCTCCTGACCCTTGTAACTCTCCACTCTCTCCGGCAGCTTTCCGGAACTTTTCAGAACTACTCACAGCTCAGGAGAGTGCTATGGGAGTTGCTGGGGGTGGGGAGAGGCAATAAGGTTTTGCACATTCCTGAATACATTTGTATATAACTGTACATATTTTCTTTTATCATTAGCATTTAATTAAAGCTGTGTAGTTTAGTTTTCAATCCAGAGCGTGTCTCCCTCATTCTCTTTAGTCTTCCCTACATGGGGAGGAGGGGATTGACAGCACTGTTGTCACTGGTCTAACTGTTGATCCTGATTCAAACCACAACAACTGATTGGCACCCAAGTGGGGTATGATCTTAAGCCCAGGCTATAAATTCTTACTCACTGGGAGTATTTAACATTCCATTTCTGATGGGAGGTTTCCCTCAGATTGCAATGGGCAACACTTCTGCTGAATTTAATGACTGCTTGAAAACTGAACACACACTTGTTCCTTCTGGACATTTTTCCCAACATGCAATTGTACATGTGATATACAGCCAAGAGCATACTGCTCTGTGTAGCTGCTTTTATTGTTTTATGTTACATCAACAGAACTGTAGCCATAATTGACAGTAAAATTACAAGCCTAGGGATCACAGTGTTTTTTATACCAATCTTTATGGGGGCACTGTATCTGTACCGTTACAGTACAGATCCTAAAATGAACGGAAAGGTCCATGTTGGTAATGGCAATACCAGGTTCAGTTTTACCTTTTCATTTTCTCTCAAGATGAATCTCCCGGCTCTTCATCTGAATACTACACTGCTGCAGTATGGATGCTTCTGCTCAATGTTTATAATGTGTTGTGGATGCGTAGGGTGAGGTGTTGCTCCACTCACTGCTAATCTCCCACAGGCAACGCTGCTGCCACTGTTGTCACTACCACCCCTGATGCTGCTACCACCACTGGTGCTAATGCCACCACTGGTGCTGCTACAAAAAGAGCTGCTTCTGCAAGTGCTGCTACAAAAACAGCTACTTCTGCAAAGATTAAGTCCACTCCCATTTGAATTAAACTGGTTAATCCTGTGACCAGAGCAAAGCAAAGGTGAAACACCCCTCCCCTTTTACCCACTCCTGTCTGAGATATCCAGAGTTTCTTCAAGCAATATTAGAGACCACATTGAGGAAACAGACCATTCTAATTCAGGTGATGGAGCAGGTACTTCTTAAAGAGATGCAGGAGCATGCACCTCTCAAGCAGATAAAAAAATCAGACCACTCAGATAGAACAGCAGGCCCTCCTCAAGCAGATGACAATGATGACCTTGTCCAGGCTTTCTCTATGAAGGAACTGCATCTCATGAGAAAGTACTTCACTTGCATTGATAGTAAGGGAATTCTTCCTTGGTTGCTCTGATGCTTTGATAGTAGGGCCAAAACTTATAACATGGATGAGAGAGAAGCCAAGCAGCTGGGATCCCTGGCCAGAGATGCTGGTATTGTTAGAGCATTTAGTAGTAAGACAGGAATTACCACCCTGTGGGACCTACTTCTTTCAGCTGTGAGGGAGAGATACCCCCCCCAATAAGGGTGACATTGCATGGCACTCAAGCAGCCAACCTTGAGAGGCTGATCACGTATTTGAGAGAATCAGCTGCTCAAGAGGTGATCTATGACACCAATGGACTTAAAAATGCTGATGACATTCCATGCAACACACAACTGTTCCAGAGGTTTGCGCAGGCTGTACCAGCAGCACATGCCCATACATTACCCCTCATGGGGTGCTTTGATGACAATGCAAGACCAACTGTGTGTGAAGTGGCTTTCAGAACATGACAGTATGGAGACATTATCTGATTCCCATCAGTTCCACATCTCAGCCATTGAACAAATGAAAAAGCAGAGGTTATTTGCAACATATTCTGGCTCCATTGGTTCTACTCATCAAATATAAATTTCAACAACAACCTTAAGAAGTCTATAATCTTTTTATCATCTTTTTTTCATTATTTATCATAACCATTACCAAGAGAGGCAGTGGCATTGGTGAATGCTGTGCCTTAAAAATAAGTGTGCTAGATTGAGACAGACAGGGGTATTCCCAGAGCTAGGAAAGTGAGGGAGAGCGGGAAGACCCAAAAGGAATCAAGGAGAGGCAGCTCTCACCAGAGAATTGAGAGGCTGACGTGGCTGGCGGCACTGCTGGGGCAACCGCAGGAAATTTAAAAGTGGCCATTGCAGAGAAGCAGTGTGCCAGGCACTTGGTTGAGCACAAGGGGAGGAACAGCAGCTCTGCCTGCTCAACAGGTGAGCCCTACTGGTGGTTGTCACCCTCTTGGGAAGACATCTACTATGGCCTCCACCCAGCAGAAGGCCATGTCCTCAGCATGAATCGGGGTGGATGTGGGAAGCCAGCCAGAGAACCCATGGAAACATGCAGCTGTGCCAGCCACAGGCTGCAGGGAGTGTCCAAGCCTTTCGCTGGCAGCAACTGGCAGTTGTGACAACTGATGTGTGCACTGCATGCAGGTGGACGGTCTCCTCTGCTGAGCAGCAGGGTGGCAAGAAGTTTAAAGGCTAAGGAGCAACAGGGAAGCTGAAAACGAGATAGACTGGTGGAGTCAGGCTCTGCTCTCTGTGAAACAGAAATGAGAGCACCCATCAGAAAGTATGCAGGATTAGGGAGCACCTGCATCCTGGCCCTGCCAGACTAGAGGCAGCAGTCTGGATGAGGGGAGTGAATGGAATAAAGTTTGTGGTCATGGCAACAGACTAACCACTCCTCCCCCCAGATGCCACTGAAAAACAGATATGAGGCTCTAGTTGAGAAAGACCAACCAAACGAAGACGCAGACGTTGGGCAGCCTATACCAAAAGTATGTCCACAGTCTGAAAGACTTACCACCCACATTACAATAACATCCACAAGGAAGAAAAGAAGGGTTATAGTTGTATGTTACTCCCTTC